GCAGCTGCAATGAAACTGCCTATACCGCTGCATCACCATTCTCTGCCTTTGTGGTTCTTAAGGTCACCCTCAAGGGTCTTCAATCTCATGTTCACAGCTTGGCACCTGGTAATTTTCACAATCAGGAAATATAAAGAAGCTATATATTTTTACTCTAATAAGGATTTTTTTTTCATTATTTATGAAGAAATAAATCTGACAGGTTGAAATATTGAAGTCAGATGGTTCACTGTAATATATGCAGCAGTGTCAGTGACAACTTTGTTTAGCAAACTTCGGAATGAAAATTTCTGCATGACAAAGAAACCGCCTTTCTCCTTGACAGAAAGTGTTCACATGTATGGGAAGTGGAATTTATATTTTGATAGCAAATTGATTTTAAGAATAATTAATGGTAAAAGAACGGAAGGTGCTCAGCATTATTTTTTAATAGGTTACTCACTATTCTTGCTGTTACCAATTTCAGAGGACTGTATTAGCTAAAATGAAGCAAGAAGTCACTTCCTCTATACTCAGAATGCCCAGAATTAGTAACTGAGGAAGAGCTAAAATAGCAATAATATAGAATTCAGTCAATTTCCTTAAGAATTTCTTCAAAAACTTGCTTTGTTCTCTGTAGAGAGATGAGAGGGACTTCTTTGTTATGCAGCTTCATTTCCACCAAATAAATATTTCTTAAATTTTTTAAAATAGAGTACAAATATTCTTATTTTAGTTAAAATTTTGCTATCAGTGGAAATAGAGAGTATTCTGAATGTGAAGACATAACTAAAAGCCATAAAACTATTAGACAAATGGTATGCTGAGAAGCAATCTACTTTTTATTTATTTATTTTACTACTCAAACCCTCCAAAGTTTTCATTTTCCATATGTTGTCATTAAAGAATGAATTTGTTCCATCATTGTGGTAAATGTACGCAATGTAAACTGGTTCATAAAGTTAATGGCTAACTACCATGTTGTCATAACAGGTATGATCTGTGCTGTCTTATACCATCTAACCAGCTCAGACCCATCAGCACTTGCTTTCCCTCAGATCTTACCAGTGCTGGGTCAGCACATTCAGAGTCATTCACAGCTGTTGCAGGAAAGGGCAGAGGGTGTGAGATGCACTCTGTAATGGTGCTGCAGCAGAGGGAGCAGCAGTATTAAAAAGGAGTTTGCAATAATTAAGATTACTGTAATAATGAGGGAGACGGTGAGACAAAAAGAAATGCTTTGAAGACTGCTTTGCTCTTCCCATGTCAGACCTTCTGATGAATGACCAATGTTGCTGGGCAGCCCATACCATTGCCTCACCATTCCTTCTGAGACTGAATGTTTTCTAATATCCAAGCTGAACCTCCTCTGGCTCAAATTGAGGCCATTTCCTCTTGTCCTATCACTGTTATCTGGGAGAAGAGGTCAATTCCCATCTCACAACCACCTTCTTTCAGGTCATTGGAAAGGGCAATAACGTCTCCTCTGAGTCTCCTCTTCTCCAGGCTGAGCAATCCCAACTCCCTCAGCCATTCCCCATAAGACTTGTCCTCCAGACCTTTCACAACTTTGCTGCCCCTCTCTGAACACACTCCAGGGCTGTGCTTCTTGTAGTGAGGGGCCCCAAACTGAATGAACTACTCAAGGTGTAACCTCACCAGTGTTGAGTACAGCTAATGACCTCCCTGCTCCTGCTGGCTGCACTATTTCTGGTTCAAGCCAGGATCCCGTTGGCCTTCTTGGTTACCTGGACACACTGCTGGCTCACGTTCATCTGAGTGTTGACCAACACTCCCAGGTCCTTCTCTTCTGCACAGCCTTCTAGCCACTCCGCCCCAAGCCTGTATCACTGTCTGGGCTTGTTGTGACCAAAGTAGAGGACTTAGCACTTTGCATTCTATCAAAACCCTAAGACTACTACATAGCAAACCGAGTTGCACCCTCACTACTATAATTCTGCAGTTCTGTAACTTGGTAGCAAACTGGCTGCACAAACAGCTAAATATGTAAGTACAGACCACATCACTAGATGTCCTCCTTTAACAACAATTCTTCTCTTTCTCAGTTAGCAAACTGGCACCATGCTCTGCAAAATGCCCTGAAATCAAGCACAGCACTGCAAGACCACCAGTTCAAATTCAAATAGGCACAAAGAATATTAGGCTGAATAACACTCTCAAGGCAGGTCAGAGATCTGCAGTTATGAAATAGGTTTTACAACACACAGATTTGGCCTAACTTCCCAGATTGTGCTGCCTGGATATAGACATATTCATATCAAATATGAATTCCCATCATCAGAACTGGATACATGTTCATAATCAGCTAATTATGCATGCTCCTTGTGCACCACCTTAATGCTCAAAACTGCTTTTTAAATGCTGATTTCATACAATAAAATGTAGGTTGGACAGCATATATGGAAATCTCTGCTACCAAACTCATGAACCTACTACAGAGTAGATTTAAACCATGAGAATGGCTCTTCATTATGGTGCAGTGGTAGATCTGTCAGGCACCACAGATTTTAGTTTTGCAGCACACTCTTTAGTTTTACTATTATTTCAATGTATTCAATCACTTAGCACATCCTTCACTTACAGATACATAGATTCACATACTAAAGTAACAAACAAGTTCACATTGCATAAATCATTATTTGTTATAATTAGGGAAAGATATAAAACAACAGGAACAGAGTTATGTCACCAGGTTATCAGGTTGCCTTCCATGTTGGAGTATTTTAGAATCTTTTGCCTTGCTCATACTCAATCCACTTCACCTTTCAGCTACTGAGTGATTAATCAGAGAGCAGCTGTGGTCTTAAGTGCAGTCACCATTATCTTTACTTTTTTTCACAACTGTCAGATTCTTAGATATTACTTCATGCTCGTAACACTCAGCAATAGTTAAAACAAGAACTTGGTTTTCATCTGCTTACTCTTCATGCTTTAGAACAAAATCTATCATAACAAAATTATTTTTAGCACCAAAGTCTTCCAACTATGCTTCACACATTTCAAACCAAACATAGAACGTGATGGGAATGGAGGAAGAAGTATATCCTAAATTTTAGTGAAGATCAAAGAGCACTGATTTTGTTTCTCACTAGCTGTAGGTTCAAATTATTTTTTATGAAAGAATATTTAAAATAAGGAGTAAAATGCTGCTGGTACCTGCTGTCACTCTATCATTTTCATGGGAACAATGCGTATCTCAGAAGGCATATGAAAAATGTATTGGTAATTAATCACATTGCCCCTTCAATGACAGCTGTCCCATTCTCTATGTGATATAGGGAGGTTGGAGGCATCTGCTGGAATCCTTTGAGGCAAAGGCTGGTGACTCTGGATGTGCCTCTGGGAGCATCACTGTTGCTGATGTTCATTGCCAGAGCTGTGTTTTCCTCTACCTGGAGCTGCAGCAGAGTGGATGCAGAAGAACAGAAAAATTGTAAAGGGCTTTCTGAAAGACCCTTTTCTGTTCCATCACACAGCAGCCTTCTTGGCTTGGTTCTCCAGGCAACTATTCTCTGTCCGTGGGTCTCCCTGCCCATTAGTCACAGAACTGGGCTGAAGCAGCCTGTAAGTGACTGATATTTTTTTGTTCAGGCATATTTATTGTCTTAAAATGAAGTTATTTCTATAATTCATTTGGGTCAGAGTCTCTATCTCCCTCTCACGATGCAAAATTGAGAACAGCTTTAGGTGGTATGCATGTTCATTTTGTTGGTTTTGCCATCTCATCCATCAGCTCGAAAATCAGTCAGTTAATTTTCTTGCCTTCTGCCTGTTGCTGCTTAGAAGAATCACAAAGCACTTTTTTCCAAAACATCAGGTCTGCAGTGTAATAGCTCTGAACAACATATTTGCTGAAAATTGGAGCTGAGTAGCATTGAAAAACGTAAAAAAATATATATGGCTGTTTGATTTATTTCTCTATTTTTTATCCTGTTGAGAAATGACAGTGCATTTATAAAGTCAAGCTACGTTTACTGGTCAAGGAAATGGAGTAGTTTGACCATGAAATCCTTTACATGAAACACTGCCCTGAGTGCAATTTTTTCTTTCATATATGCTTTCTATTTTGGATCACATTTCTTATTTAATTTTAGAATGCTCTAAGAACATGTTGTCTACACATTTGTTATTTGAGCTGACATTGCATCTTGAAGCCGGACAGAAAAAATGTGGATAATTAGCTAGTTTATGGGGGTGAAAAAAAGATCTTTGAGAAAAAGGATAACTGTTGAAAATTCCATTTGAATTGGGAGTTTTTCACTTCAAATGGAAAATAATGTTTTGGGTTTTCTTTAATTTATAAATATAACTTTTTTAAATTACTTTACACACCCTTGTTGCTTTTCATATCGTGTTTAAAAACATACATTCACTGACAGTTTTTACACTTCCACTTGAATATCTAGGAATTTATCTAAATAGACTCTCCCCTCCCTTTTTTTCTTAATATCTAACTCGGTCTACTACACAGGCAGTACTAGTTAATGCTAGGTCCAGGGACTTTCTAGGAATCTCAGTGTTTCATAGTTCCTAGACTTTGCTAGTCTGATATTCATGCTTTTATTTAGGAAAGAATTCATTCTGAATTCAGAAGAGTTCTTTCTAAAATTAAAGGATGCATAATAATCACCAGCACATTAAAAATGCACTGAAAGTGTTCAAGAACTGTGTGGATGTGGCACTGAGGGACATGGTTTAGTGGGCAATATTGGTGGTAGGTGGATGGTTGGACTAGACGATCTTAGAGATCTTTTCCAGCCCCAGTGATTCTATGATTTTGTAACAGCATCCAAAACAACAGCAGTCATTTAACCACCATGGTGGATGTATGGGAACTGCTGAATCACAGCCTGAACCTCTGATTGATCACCTGAGGCAAGCAATGAGTCAGCCCTGGGAGCACAGGTGAAGGCAATTCAGCTGTGCTGCTGGAAGGTGTGGAGCCAGGCTCCACCTCTCCTAGACCCATTTAAGAGCTGACTGCCAGGGGGGAATGATCTCTAGAAGAGAAGAAGAAGAAGATCTCCAGAAGAAACTCCTTTGGAGTTTCCTGAGACTGGGATAAGGGTAAGCATTCTGTTTATCCTTTTTCTTGGTGTAATAGCCTGCCTAGCCAAGCTCTCTGGTTTATTTCATGATTATAACATCTGTGTATTCATTGATTATACAGTGGGGATGGGACGGTGATTGGACTAGGTGATCTTAGTGGTCTTTTCTAACCTTAAAGATTCTGTGTTTTTAAATGGGAGAGTGACTAGAAGAGCTGAAGCGAAGAGTGTGCGCTCTTTGCTTCTCCAGGCAAATACTCCCATCTCAGATAAGTGTGAGGGGATTTGTTTGTTTACAACTCCATTTCAGAAGAATAATATCTGTTCTTAAGTAAAATTTGCATGTGGAAACCATACAGCAAAACTCATTTAACAAGTGGAAGACTTGGGAAATAATGAGGCAATACATTGAAGTTACACTGATGGAGTGGGTATCCAGAATGTATTCTACATTTCAGTATACATTCTAACATGTTGATGTTTGGGTGATTCTGATGAGTAAACAAAACTTTTTCTTAATTAACTTTAAAGTCAGCATTTTTGCTTCCTTTAAGCTGCAGGGTACTGATGCAACAGTACTGGAATAGCTGAGAGTACCAGCCCTTCTAGGGACATTCATATTTCATCATGCAAGTTTTACCATTAATGATTTCACTGTACTGAAATAGTGATGAGAGTCATCTGACTTAGTCCTAAGTTTAGAATCCTCTGTATGCTAGCTACTCGATGATGAGGGTATTTTGTCTGGGGAGCAATAAGCAGATCATAAATACCAATGCTGGAAGTGATGTTACTACATGCATACACCAGAAGCTTATTCAACTGAAAAAGTACTCAACTGAACAATCATATCAACAATTGATGCTCATCTGGTCAAAATGGTCTGTTTTAGTAGGGCCTTATGACTTTTTTGCCTGGGAAATTATGCACAGTGGAGGGTATACTCTAATCGTAACTGTTTGCTATATAGTTTGCTATCTATGTTTGCTGGGAAAACAGCTGTTGTATGGACAGGCTAAAGTCTGCCCTTGATTTTTTTTCCTTATGTGACTCTATGTTTGTGAGTCCTACTTTAAATGAAGTGGTTTTTTTAGTAAAGTGATGTGAAGGAAAAGAAAAATATGAACTTAAGACTAATTTTTCTTAGGTAGAAAATATTTGATATTTATACAATTTAGATATTAGTGGATGCTAGGTAAGTGGGCAAAAATATTTAAATATTTTCCCTGTATTTTCACAGGGACATATTTGCAGAATCAAAACACTGCAACGTAACAGATGCATCTAATGTAGATTTTTCTGATTTCATTAACGCAAAAATCTATTTTTGGTTTCCCAAAAATCAGGTTGTCAGTAACACCCTATCTTGAAGCCCCTGGGAAGAACTTATCTTGCAATCATTGCTATCACACAACAAGTTATCATTAAATTGCACTCATAGAATGGTTTAGGCTGAAGGAGTTGTTAAAGACCATCTAGTTCAATCTGCCTTGCCATCAGCAGAGACTCCTCCCACCAGCTCAGCTGCTCAGGGCCGTATCCAACCTGGCCATGAGCACCTCCAGAGATGGAGCACCACAGCTTCTCTGCGCAGCGGTGCCATTGCTTCACTATCTTCTGTGGAAAGAGCTTCCTCCTAACATCTAATTTTTTTTCTCCTTTACTTCAATACCATTTCTCCTCATTCTATCGTTCCTTGATATAGAGTCCCCCTCCAACTTTCCTTTGTGACCCCTTTTAGATACTTTCTATTAGTGCTCTGTCACTGGTAAAAATGCAGTCCTGTCTTCATTCTGTTCACTGGAAGCTGTCTTTCACAGCAGAAGTAGTTTAATACAGCACCTTTGGCACCTGACATTGTGTGATCAGAAGCCATTTCACAAAGTATACTGCATAGAGTGTTTCATAAATGGCATGAACCCTGAGCATTTTTCACTTCAGAAGGCAGTAATTCAGAATGTAATTGGTGTGGTATTCACCCTTAAAGAAGGACCGTTTGAGATAATAGGACAGAGATGAATGAAGGAACTCAGTGACACCAAGTTCACGAGTGTCTTGTTAGTATACCTTTTCCAAGTATCCGTGTCCTGCAACTTAGACACTATATATGCATTCTCCTTCCATGGCGGCATTTTTCTATCTTTTTCCACTCTATTTTCTTACGTTGTCATCTGAGCACATTGTAGTGATGCCCTAAGTAATGTGGCTTCATCGCATGCTATGTCTGTGCAGTCAGAGGATGAGAAAGGATGAGAACATAACAATCAATGAAACCTGGTTTTGATCCAAATCTCAGTGACTTGAATGGTGCCAATATGTGCAGCACAAAGACGTGGGTGATATGAAAGAAATAAAGACCATATATTCAATTACATCTCATTGAAAAGAGATTCTATGGAGCAATTCTTTGTTGTACTCTGCTGAATTTTACTTGATGTACTTTCATTACATAAAACTATAATTAATATTGGAACCTAGAACCATAAGGCAGACTGAAGTAGTATCTATAAAGTTTTTTTTTTTTCTAGATGGAGTTAATGTCTTGTACAGGTCAGAAGCTCACTTCTTCCCCATTTTTCAGCAGGTAGAAAAAGCAATGATCACTGTTGAATTGTCTCCATTTACACAGCATTTTACCCTAAAATTATTTAATGTTTAGCAGTGGTGTCCAGCAGCTACCCTGACCTTGGCTGTTCGTTATATGCTGTTTGTAGGCTGGGGTGCTAAGGGAAACCATCTGAGAATAGTAATAAAAGATCATCTAGAAGCATTACATGTGCCATCTATGCCTTTTTGAGATGTATTTTGATATTTATCCTTTTTCTCTACAATACTAATTTGTGTATTAATATTATGAGCCATTCTATGTATCAAAAATGAATATGGACAGCAGGACTAAAGCATCAATTATTTTTATTTTCAAAAGCAGTACAGCAGCTCTTGGTTCACGGTTGTTAACTTCTGTGCAAATTCTTCTCGCAGTTTCATCTGTGATTTGAAGTCTTATTTCTTTTTTTGCTTTCTTTCTATCCTCAAACATGCTTCAACATCTAAGCATCAGAATAAGCTATGGGATATGGCTGCTTTGCATGACAGACACCAGTGATCATCATCATCTTCATTTTTTTTGTCTCCTCTCTCCATTATTTGCATTGGTTTCAATTGAGCATTTGGTACAATATGGAGAAGAATGGAAGGATAGGGGTTCTGCTGGGTGAAAGAGTAAGTTTGTTCATTTGGGCTGTTTTGCAAGCTTTTGAGAGTTCTCATTGGAACATGAGAAAAGTATTGGTGCAGTATTTGTAAGTGTTGGTTACAGCAGTGGCGAAGAGTACAGAAGATTTCAGAGGACTGGTGCAAGATGTTTTGTTTCAGGTGAACTATCACCAACAAGCAGGTCCTTTTTTCTTCTGCCTAGAAAAGGGATGGTTTTCATTTAGACAACTGTACTTTGTGGGGGAAAAAATAAAAGAAAATAAAAAAGAAAATCTGCAAGTCTCTGTAAGTTAGTGAAAGCCAGAAGGTAGCTACACTCATAGTGCTGGAGCACTTGTTCACATAATGGCAAACTAAGTAGAGGTACACAGTGAACAAGATCTGAAAAATAATTTTGAACATCTCCATGGTATTGCTGTTCTGAAATTGGATCTCTGAATGCTACAGATGTTGTTCACCTTCTCAGTGTGACTTGTCCTGGCCTTTGGAAACTGAGTATTTTAATACTGGTAAATCAGCTATCTATATACCTACTTATCTATTATTATTTCTCATACTGAAAGACTTCAACAAGCCTTTGTTGTATATCACATTTTAAGCTCTCTTTTAGCCTTCAAAGTTATACTGATTAATTTGGTATGTGTGATCAGAATAATTATTTCTTGGCAGTAAATTGCAATGCATACTCACAGTTACATGGAATTTATCTTGCATGAAATCACTTCTATGAAGACAGTAATAGTTGACATGTCCTTAAAGCGTGTCAGCAGTTAATCCACAAAATGACCAGTGGAGAGAATGTCCCTTTTCCCTCTGGCCCTGGTTTATTGATGTGTTCCCATTAATTATGTTTAATTTTCTGCTGGCAGTGCTCTCCTTAATGTAAGCCGGAGTTAGCATATCTTCACAGATTTATTAATGGGTATGTTCACTTATATTGTGCAGCAGAAATATTTTATAATGCTCTAATCTGGACAAAAAGGCAATGCCTTCCCAATTAAAAAATTATGAGGAGTAATTTTCCCCTATTACTAACCTGATAGGTCAAGTCACACAGTGGGAGGTATCTATCATTCTGAAATTTTATCCAATCTCTTTCTTTGGAAGCTGCTCCTCTCCATGTCTGTTTGCAGACAACTTCCTCTGCAGTTCTGACTGTATGTAGCTTCATTTTGTTCCTGTCCCAGGGGCTGCTTTGTGTGGAGCCTGACAGGCTCCCACCTCTTATATGAAAGTGTGACTCCAGGGAGTCCTTCTGACAGTTTTAAGGTTGCCTTCACAGTATGGTGTATTTAAAAAAAAAACCTCTTTTAAAAGCTTCTGCATAAATATCTTCTTAAATTTTGCAGCTTCCTTGCGGAGCCAGATGCTCCTGTCAAGACCAACTGCATACTAGGCTACTCTACTACAAGCATGGATGGCAGGCCAAGAAAAATGATTTATTTTCCCCATGAATTTTACACTCATAAAGCAGTGTTTTAAGTATAGGCAGCTCTGTACCCTTTCATTGAAGGAGAGATGTCGACAACCTGAAGGAGGGGACCATCGAATGGTCTGAGGGCTGGAGCGTATAACTTGCAAAGAAAGGTTGGCACAGCTGAATCTTTTCAGGATGAAGAAAAGAAGGCCAATGGGGGACATAAATGATGCCTACTCAGCCTCCTGTGTGCTTGTAGAGATTTTTCTCAGAGATGCACACTGATGGGACTAGGGACACCAGCTGTTGGAAATCCACCTGGATTTAAAATAAAATTTCTTTGTGTTGAGAGAGGTTATAAACTGGAACAATTTGCCTGAGAAGACTGGGAACTCCTTCAAAAGAGTAGGAGAGAGTTCTGAGCAGCCTGATCCAGCTGTGAAAGGAGCCCTGCTCCTGCGGATGATGATCTAGCTTTGCTCAGAAGACTGGGAGCAGGTATGTAAAGACAAGGCAATGGCCAGAATGCAGAAAGCTCTAAACATCCTGCCTTTGATGTTAATGTGATACTACTTTATTCTTAACTCCTTCATTCATGACCCAGTGCTTGGTTAAATCATTTATTTTAAGATGGTTTTGTGTCAGTACTGTAGCAAGAGGTAAATTGTTGATGTCTGGGTAGTTCTCTGATAAAAATGATTGATTTTCTTTTCACTATTGAAATAGTCCAGATGAAAAACAATGTGGTGAGATACACCTACCACACTGTAAGTAGAACAGAAGCTCTTTATTTGCTCAGCAGCTGCAAATTGACTTATTTCCCTTCTGTTAAATGGAAGTTGAGATGTAAAAATAGACATTGGTGTTTATTGGAAGCTTAAATCTGCTGATGTTTTATAGATCTGGAAAGTTTTCTGATTGCTATGCATTAAAACAACTGTCACATTGTTGCATAAATTAATCAGAATGACGCACTCTGCCACAAGTCCTGCTTAAAATATTTATTTTGAAAAAGCATTACCAAGGTTAGTACTAGAGTAGTAACAGCCAAGGTTTTGAGCTGCTACAATTACAAGCTTTTTTCTTAGAATCTTCTAAATTTGGCCAGATTATATTACCAGTGTCTTAGCAACCAGGAACCATCAGACAGGTTCTGAAAGAACGGAAAATCAGTACTTAAATATACCCCGTGAATGCCAGCAAAACTAGAAGGATATGGCAATCCTTTGAGACTTTTTAACATTAAAGGTTGTGATCTTGAGTGAAGTATTTGTTATAGGTTACAGTGAGGAACTCTGCTCATTGCAGCAAGTGGCAATGGTGCACCAGACTTATCCACTCTTTTAGTGAAATTCAGCACTGGTTGGCTGTTCTTGGAGATTTGTTTAAAGCAATGATTTGAGGGTGGATGTCGTGGCTACTTTTGCTTGCAGTACTGGATTATGTTACAGAATTTGATCACTGCTGTTTCCTCTGCTTTCAATGGCAAGTATCCTTTCCCCTCTGAAAGGGCTCTTTGAAGGAAAATAGAGTACATGCCTTAAGCAAAGATACTTAAAGATTGAAGGCTTTCTGCTAGAAAATCTTCTACAATATATACATAAAGATAGATGGCCATTATAAACCACCAAGTGCATTTACTTGATGGAAACATTTATTAAACACCTACAGGAAAAAAAAAATCCCCACTTTACAACTTTTATTTAAACCTACAAAAGAAAGAGTAAGAAAAAAAATAAAGATGAGAATACACCTAAGAGTGCAGCATTAGCTTTCTTATGCAAGCAGTGTTATCATGGGAGAACAGCTTTGAAAACTTCATGAACTGCAATATTTAAAAATAGGTAGTTAAAGTAATTCTGTAAATTATCAGGAATAATTTCTGTGTAATCTGTTGTCCAGCATAACAATGAAGAAAAATCTTTGAGAATAAGAATGTTTCTCATCTTTTTTGCCAAAAATGTCTGCACCCACAGAAGTGTAATTTTCCGCCAATCACTCATGGATGGGTAAAAATAAATGTACTATCACACACAAAGAAGGTACATATCTCAAAATGTACTGGTATCACAGTGATTCTGAACAAAAATCTTGTGGATTAAAATGTATTTAGAAAAAACATTGCTATAAAAATCTGCCAGCATATACAAATGTTTCAAGAGAAGATGGGATTGAAATGTGAGAGATGGGGGGAAAAAAAATGGAAAGTATGAAATCCTCTACAGTTTGGGGGAGCAATTAAAGGCTGTGCAGGGGAAATACAATAAAATGGGTGTAAAATTCCTTGCAGTGGGGATCAGAGCCTGGCCCAGGTACAAACAACGACTTAATGAATGATATGCAAATTCTTTAATCAGGCTTCAAGAGCACCCACAAAAGGTACGTACATGTATCATCTGCTTAACAGGAAAGGAAGTCTTGGTACAGTACTTTCTTAACATTTCTGGATGAATTTTCTGAATGAAGTTCTGTTTTTTTGTGCTACA